ACTTTCTGTTTCTCCTTGGACATCTCTGTGTTTTTTGTTTTAATTTGAGTGGCATCCCACACATCATCAATTCATTCTTCCTTAAGTTTCAGTCTTTGATGAAAAGATGACACTTCTTGCCAAAGTTTATTTAACATTTATTCCCCTTCATGTACTCTATGTTCTAGACAAAATAATTTATCTGCTATTTCCTGAAAAGGACACTGCATCTCCCAGCTCCAGGACTGTTCACAGACTGTTCTCATTCCTGGAATACACTCCCTCCTCCTCTCCATTTCACAGAATCCCCTCTGCCTTCTTTTAAGATGCAGGTTATGTTCCTTATGAGGAACTTTTCCTGATCTGTCAGTTACTAGTGTCCTCTCTTCCTCTTAAAATAATCACATACATCTTCATTTATCTATTTATTGATTGTATCCCCTGGTAGAATGCAAGGTCCTTGAGGACAGAGATTGGAGGTTTGTTTGGGGTTTTTTGGTCTTTGCACCCCTAGTGACTAGCATGATACTTTACACATAGTAAATACTTAGTAAATTCTTCTTGGATTAAACTGTTGCATGTTTGGGCTTTACTTAACTGAGTATTTGAATTTGTTTTTTCTCTTCTTTTTCATTTTGCTTTTAAATAAGTTCCTCTATTTGAGTTTGTAATCTGATTTTCCTCAGGCCCAGTGTACTGTAGAGCTGTTCAAATGAGGGGCTTGTTTAGAAAAGCATATAATTTGGATAATTTCTGTTTAATCTTTGCTAGCACTTGTTAAGATTTTCATATTCTCTGTCTCTCTCTTTCTCTTCTCACCTTCCCCCCTTCCCCTTGCTTTCTTTTTAAAAAGTTTTAAAATTCATTTTAAACTGAAATAAAGAATAAGAAAAAAAATTGCCAGGTACACATCAGAACATAAGAAAGGATCCAATTTAGAGCAATAAATTTCCATTTCAAGAAAACCTATATAAGAAATACCATACATTGTTTTCAAAGCTGTTCAGCTTTTCTTTGCTTCCTTGTAGGTTTTCTTTTGTTCTCTGCTGTGCAGTTTTTACTTTATTTTCTCCCTATTCCTCCCCCCAAGAAGGCTACAATTAAGTCTGTGTGTGTGTGTGTGTGTGTGTGTGTATGTATGTATGTATATGTATGCGTGTGTTTATAGATGTCTAGGTATATGTATGTATATGCACATGTATATACATATACATATATATCTATAAACACACCCATATGTACACATGCACTCATACACATATATGTAAGACCATACTATGCTTATTTCCACTTGGCATGTATTTCTCTAAAGGTGGAAAGCATCTTCCTTCATATGTCCAAGTCTTTCCATATCTTTCTATATCAACCGGCTCATCATTTCCAATACTACAGCAAAATTCCAACCCAATCACATTCTATCTGAGAGATTGTCTATGAAAGTTTCTTCCTAATTTTCTGCATTCCTTCTATTCTTGACTGCACAGGTTTTATTTATACAAGAAAATTTTAATTTAGAATAATCAAAATTATCCATTTTGCATTTCAACAATGGTCTCACCTTATAATATGGTTTAAGGTCTGATACTACTGAATCTGGTTCCTCATCTTTTTCCATTGTTTTCCTTGAAGTTCCTGACCCTCTGTTCTCCCAAATGAACCTTGTTATTATTTTTCTAACATAATTTTTTAATATCTTAATTGGGATGGTATTACATAAATAGATTAGTTAGGTAAAATTGTCATTTAAAAATATTGGCTTTACCTACCCATGAACAATAAACATTACTTCAGTTATTTAGATCTAACTTTATTTGCATAAAAGATGTTTGTGTTTATATTTGTATAGTTCCTTTGTTTTGGCAGGTACACTCTCAGGTTTTTTATATTGTCTAGTCATTTTAAATGGTCTAAAACAATATGAATAATATGGCTGACACGCAGTGGAATTTCCCTATTTTTCTTTCTTGATTAAATCTATTTTATCTTTAACTTTGTCTGAGATCATGATCACCACCTCTGCTTTTTTTTAACATAATAAATTCTACTCCTGACCTTTATTTTATATTTATGTGTATCTCTCATTTTTATAGCTTTCCCTGAAAGCAACATATTGTTGATTTAAAATTCTAGTCTACTATCAGTTCCCCTTGTTTTCAACCTGTCCTAGTCCTCAGCTCCCACACTTATTTTTGTTTCCTTTTTTTAAAAAAAAAAGGCAGCTCTTCACATTTAAAGAGAACAGTAGCCAAGATGCACTGAAAATGCTGTCCATGGTGCTGCATACACAGCTCTTCAATCTCCTCCAGCCAGAGCAGTACCTCTTTATAACCTTGGGAAGGCTTCTTGAGCCTGGTATCATCAAGGTTCAGTGTGTCTGATGAGTTGGTAGGCTTTCTTAAGCTCTGCTTGCTTAGTAACTTTGTTTCCTATTTTGACCATGTTTTGGGCTCCTGACAGAAATGCACTTGAATTCCAGAAGGCCCTCTCACAGTCTGCTCAGGAAAACCAAAGATGAATATATATATGTGTGTGTGTGTGTGTGTGTGTGTATACATATATATGTATATGTATGTGTATGTGTGTGTGTGTGTGTATACACACACACACACACACACACACACACACACACACACCTACACATATATACAATCACTTTGCAAACAAGGTCTCTTGCTCTGATATGCAGAACAAGTGGAGAGGAGTGACAGCTTGTAAAATGACCTTCTTTGCTGTCTAGGGTTTCTTGAAATTTCTTGAAAAGCTGGTGTGAATCACAGACCACTAAATCTATCCAAATCCAGTTGTTGTTTAGTCATTTCAGTCATGTCCAACTCTTCATGACCCCATTTGGAATTTTTTGGCAAAGATACATGAGTAGTTTGCCATTTCCTTCTCCAGCTCATTTTACAGATGAGGAAGCTGGGGCAAATAGGGTTAAGTGATTTGCCCAGGGTCACACAGCTAGTAAGTGTCTAAGACCAGATTTGAGGTCAGGAAGATTAGTCTTAATGAGCCCAGCCTCAGCACCCCAACCTCATCCAAATCTAGAGACCTCTTTAAAAATTCACACTCTCAGCTTTTAGCTCTTCCATAACTAACCTGACAAAATTGTTAATCTTGGTACATCTTAACATTAAGTTTCAGCCTCTATGTATATTTAATAATAGATTGTTAAATTCCTTGAGGCAGAGATCTTGTGTTAGTCTTCTTTGTACTCTCCACTCTGCCTAACTAGCTCAGGGCCTAGATATAACAGACATTCAATAAATGTTTGCCTTTGGTATGAGAACTCTCCCTGCCAATATGGGAACTCCTTCAACCTACTGCATGTAGATCTCAATCAATAATTTATAGCTTTAGATTGGGGGCTCTTAACCTTTTTTGTGTCATGGACCCCTTAAACAGTCTGGTGTGGACCCCTTCTCAGAATTGCTTTTTTAAATAATTGAAGGCAATGCTAAGAAATTAGTGAAAATAACATAATTATTTTTGCAAACAAATTCATGGACTCTCTGGAATCTATCCATAAACTCTTGGGGAGGGGGTTAGAAGAGAGAGATTGTATGGAATTCAGTTTCAGAATGTTTATCTTTGAGGGTTGACTGAGTCTCAGCAAAATTAAGTGACTTACTTACGGCTTGATTAAGTGTCAGAGGCCCAGGTCTTCCTTACTCCAGGTCCAGAACTCTATTGATGTTTATTGAATTGAAAACTGAATTGAATTGAGTGATTAGGAATGTCCATTCATGGTTAGAGTCCCCATTTCTGTACTGGTTTAGCTCAGTTGGTTTAACATGGTGCTAATGAGGTCAGGGTCATGAGTATACTCCTAGTTAAGACATTTAACTTTCTTCTTCATCAGAGTACTACAGTGCACCCTGAGCCCTGCTAACAATCTCACAAGGCAAGGATAATGGTCATCAGGGAAACTGAGCAAAAGAACAAGATCAATCAGTACAAATATATCCCTAGCATTAGAAAAATGACTGGGATAACATGCCCTATAGATAGTGGGTCAATAGTGACATCTTTGTATGGAACCAGCACTTGTTTCTTTGGATCCATGATTTAATTGGTAAAAAGAATTTGTGCTGTGAAAACTCCCTCTACTGAGGCGTATCAGCAAGGTACCTGTTACTACAGCCAGGTGTTGCATAATGTGGACTTTCTGCAGACCTCCCCTTGCAGGGCTCCCCATGGCTCCACCCCCTCTGGGGCTCTGCAGCCCCAAACCCTACTGCAAACTCAAAGCTGAGTCTAAGTTGCTTCTGGAACCTACAATTTGCCTATTCGAATTTATCCAAAATGAGAACTGCCTAGTTAATACTATTAGAATTGCCTGGGAGGATTTAAAGGTTAAGTTATTTGTCCATGGTCAGACAATAAGCATGTGTAGAACTTGAAACCAGGTCTTCCTGATTTCAAGGTCAATTCCCTCTATGCTTTGCCAGCCAGTCTCTTTAAAGAGGGTGGAGGTGGAGATAGAGAGTTGCTTATATTAGAATTTTTACTTGGTTCTGTAAGCTGCCTAATTTTTTTCAGATCTGGAGTTTATAATAACAATAAATATTGGGGCAGCCAGGTGGCACAGTGGATAGAGCACTGGTCTTGGAGTCAGGAGGACCTGAGTTCAAATCTGGCCTCAGATACTTACTAGCTGTGTGACCCTGGGTAGGTCACTAAACCCTGATTGCCTCCAAACAAGTAAATAAATAGTTATATAGCACTTTAAGGTTGGAGAAGTACTTTACATATATTATCTTATTTGATCCTTAAAACAAGCCTATGACATAAATGTTATTTTTATCTTTATTTTACAGATAAGGAAACTTATGGGTTAAGTAACTTGCCCAGCATCACACAGCTAGTCAATGTCTGAGGTAGAATTTGAACCCAAGGACTTCCTGACTCAAAATCCAATGCTCTATCTACTCCACCACCTAGCCATCTCCTATGAGCCAATGCTAACTATAAAGTTGCCCTAAAATGAAGACAAGTGGTCTGGAAGTTCAAGCACCAACCTTGGCACTGGATTTCTCCTGTATTACTTTGTCTTCCTCCATATGATCAATCTGTAGAGCTGAAACATCTTCTGCTGACACTTGGTGAACTGGCATACTCTGTGGATCTATCAGGATTTCATAGGGCACCATAGGATGCTTCCAGGAGGCAGATGTAAAAACATCCCAGAGCTCACTCTGTCCAAAAGTCCCTGAGAGGAAGAAACATCATTCAATAAGATGACAGAAAATCATCTGCTCTCAAATTGTGGATGACTCAGTGCTAAGATACCACGTGTCTCCTTTATAATCAATTAAGGCTCATTATTTGACCATACTAAAGTTCAGTGTATGTACGTCTATATAAAAAAAAATCCCAGGGAAAATGGTCTGAGAGGCATGATCGTAGTACACTTCATTCAATACGTCTGCTGAAGGTCCACACTATTAATATAGTCAGAATGTAGAAGAACGAAGGCAGGACATTGGGAGCGTGCAGCTCCCAGTTCTGGCTCTGCCACTCAGATGTCACTTAACCTTGGTGTCCTCATCTATAAAATGGGAATGATAAATGAGTGTGTCTGCCTTAAAGGGTTGGTACAAGGCTCACACAAGATGATGCTTGTGAAAGTGCTTTGCAAACTGAAAGTGTTCCACAAACATGTTATTATGATTGTTCTCAATGGGATATGGTAAGACAGATATAGTCCTTGCCTTAAGGGCCATGCAGCTAGGTGGCAGAGTGGATAGAGTGATGGGTCTGGAGTCATGAAGACCTGAGTTCAAATCTGGCCTCAGTTACTAAATGTGTGACCCTGGGTAACCTCTTAACACTTAACTTCTGTTTGCTTCCCTTTCTTTATGGGGATAATAATAAGACCTACCTTCCAGATTGTTGTAAGGATCAAATGAAATAATATTTGTAAAGCCCTTAACACAATGCCTGGCACACAGTAGACACTATATAAATGTTAGCTATTGATAAAGGAGATAAGACAATCCACTTGCAACATGCACACAGATCCTCCACACCAGACAGTTAGTCTCTTTTAATATACTACCATTCTCTTTTCCACCTCTTTATCTTTGTATCTCTTTTATGCTCTCATCTTGCCTACATTGCATTATTTTTATTTATGTATGTATTTTCTCTAAGTTCCATGAGGACATATTTTTTTCTTTTGGCTTTGTCCCTTGTACAATACCTTACATGTAGCAAGAACTTAAGAAATATTTCCTAAGTAAAATGCTAAAGTAATTAAGACAAGGATTGTGTATATTCGAAAAGGGGCAAAGATAACTGAGGAAAACTTCCAAGGGAAGGGATTTACTAGGAAACTGAAAGGAAAGGAGGAATGTGGCTTATGCCATACTTGTGTAAAAGTGTGAGGAAAGGTTCAAAGGAAGACAAGAGGCAAGCCAGAAAGCAAGAGAGTTTGAACTTAGGGACAGGGATGAGAGCACATATGCAGAGCTATAACCAGCCATTATGGCACTTGAGGCAAGCACTCAAAATTGCCTCATGAGCAAGCAACATAAAAATACGCCTTTTAAATGAACTTTAAGACAAAATTCAGTTGGGAGTATGAGGTAACTCAGAAAGACACTTCAACTTCAGATTCAGCTAAGTGGTACAGTGGATGGAAAGCTGGACATGGAATGAAGAAAACTTGAGTTCAAATCAAGCTTCAGACAATTACTAGCTGTATGATGCTGGACATGCCATCTAATCTCTGTCTGCCTCAGTTTCCTTATCTATAAAATTGGAATAATAAGAGTACCTCCCTGATTGCTGGGAGGATCAAATGAGATATTATTTGTAATGTGTTTTGCAAACCTTAAAGCACTATATAAATGTTAGTTGGTATTATTGTTTTTGTGGTTGTTATTTTAGGACACTGCCTCATGGAAAGCAGGAAATAGAGACAGAGAATTCAAGATACCAGTATACACTTTTGGGGAAGCTGCTGCTTGGTTGGGAAGGCCGCAGAGTGGTACTGGGTTGCCTAGGAGGTCACCTAGGGATACTTGATAATTTCTAAGTTTCTCAACTCATTGAAGAATCTTATGTGCTGTCAATGTCATCTAAATTTCAGCACCCATGGACAAAATCCCGGTAAACCCACCTTAGTTATGGCTCTTCAAATAGGTGAAAACTGCCATTATTAATTTGAAATCTATATTTACTTGTCTACTCTTGCTATTTGTGTTGAAGGGGTTACAGGCTACATGAAACAGCAACAAATATTTACTCAATGCTTCTTATCTATATTGTGATAAATTTTAGAAGAGATTCAAAGATGAGAGAAGGAATTTACACTCTAATGGAGGAGGGTGCAACATATGTATACAAATATGGATGATACCTAATAAAATATAATTTGGCAAAGGAGTGATCAAATCAAAATTACAAAAGATTCATCAGCCAGAGGTAACAAATTCCCAAATAAGATGATGGTCTTAATCAGATGTTTTCTTTCAAGTTGTTTCTAGATTTCAAATATTCTCATCTGTAGAAATGCAATTCCCAACAAAACTTATCACCATCAATCTAACTGGATTTCCCAGCTTATCTGTCTGAGGGATTCCCACTTTGGCCAAGTGGAGTTAGATTTTGTTCCCCCAGAAAATGATTTCCTCAGGTGGTTTTCAGCCCTTCTTCTAGGAAACAGTGTATGTGTGTCCCACACTAAACCTGATCTTCTGCATAGGTGGTGTGGAAATTCCATACCTATATACTCTCCATCCATGCTCCATAGACGAATTATACAGTCAACGGAGGAAGACAATAGAGCCTTTTCTTTCTCTATCAGCTCTAACCTAATGAAAGGAAGGAAACAGATGATAAATTCACTAAAAGAAAGCAAAGAGATTTTCTAGGATGATGACAGTCATCTAAATGAGACCAAGAATCAGAGGATCATGGAGTCAATAAGTCAACAGCCCTTTAATAATAACAAGAATAAGAATAAGAATCATGGCTGACACAAATATAATGCTTTAAGCTTTGCAAAATGTTTTTTATACATAATCCCACAAGAGTCTCAAAGTAACCCTATGAAGTGGGCACCCATTGAAGGTGTTATTATCTCCATTTTTCAGATGAAGAAATGGAGGCCCAGATAGGTTAAGCCCATGGTCACACAGTTAGCCTATCCAACAATACAAGGAAACATAAGCCACAAGTAGTCTCTCAAATTGTGCAATTTCTTCCAGCACAGCTCTCCTTCTTTCAGTATCTCCTAGGACACATCCTCCTCCAATTATAACCTGGCCTCAAATATCAAATAATCAAGGAAAGCTCCCTGCAAACAACTAAGAAATAGTTGTTAGCTAAGAAATAGTCTTCTTGTCTAGTGGAAAAGATCCAGAATTGGGAGTTAGTTCAAGCTTTGCCATTGACTCCCAGTGTAATTCAATACATTTCATGTGGCAAACATTTACTAAATATCCTCTACATTCAGGTCCCACAAGGCAGCTGGGAATATAAATGTTCTTGAGGAGATTATCATCAAATAGGGGAGGTAAGACAAATTACTTAAAATGTCAATGGTTAAAATGAGATAATATTTGTAAAGCATTTTGCAAACCTTTAAGTGCCATATGAATGCTAGATATTATTACTATTACTACTTCTAAAAACAAATATCCATGAATTCAGAGAGAGTCAGGGAGATAAAGAACATTGTTGAGCAAGTACTTTTAGGGTTGCGAAGAAAAGTTTATGTCTGTTTCTTTGTCAGAAAAATAAGGATAAGACTAATTTCCCCCACTGGTTTGTTGTTGTTATTCAGTTGTTTCAGTAATGTCCAACTCTTCTTGTCTCCATTTGGGATTTTCTTAGCAAAAATACTGGAGTGGTTTGCCATTTCCTTCTCCAGCTCATTTTACAGGTGAGGAAACTGAGGCAAATAGGGTTTGTTAAGTGACTTGACCACAGTCACATAGCTAGTATAGTGAGGTCAGATTTGAATCCAGCTCTTCTTGACTCCAGGCCTGGTGCTCTATCCACTGCACCACCCAGCTGCCCTTCCCACAAGAGGGATATTGAAATGATAAATGAGAGAAAAACTGGAAAAATTCTTTTAGCTGCTAGCTAGTTGATACAGTAGACAAAGCAATGTGCCTACTGTAAAATGTAGATAATAATGACACCTACCTCCCTGGATTGTTGTGAGGATCAGATGAGATACTATTTGTAAGAAGCTTAGCTAGGTAACTAGCACATAGAGGTCACTTAGTAAACACTTGTTCCTTTTTCCTCCTTGTAAGAATGGTGCCAAATAAATAGGATATTATTTTCTCCAGCATTTCTATGCTACAAATAGATACTCACGATGTGACTGCATTAACATGGGCTCGCCAGAACTTGACATCTGTAGCAATATAAAGAATATATATAAATAAAATGGGACAAAAAACCCCATTGATTTATTTGTTTCCTATTACAATTAACACATGAGGTCATTTCACATCCTTCACCTATGGCTCTAAAGACAAAGAAAAATGGAGGTAAAACCAAGACAAAAAAAAAAAAGCAGAATGACAGGAATTTCATACCAGTTCCTTTGAAAGAAGTTTGGACTCACATGGACCTAAGTAATACATTCTAGCCAGGCCTTCCCCAGGGGCATCATGACCACAACAACAACCGCTGTTTCCTAAGCAAACTTTCTGGGCTGAGCCTCTGAGGTTCAGGGCCCATCCATGAGAGGAGACTAGGGCCAATAATCTAGGATTCCTGGACCTTATTTAAACCTCTGCTCTGAAACCGCATGGCTAGGTCAAAACCAAGTGAGTTCATAGAGGAGATGGGCAAGGGGCTAAGGGCAGGGGCCAGGACAAATGAGCATAGTCTGCTACCTTGTCTTCATTCAATATTCATTTTTTTTTTTAGTGCCTGCTTTATGCAAGGCACAGGGCAATGGAGTCAGAGAGATATAAAGACGTATGGAATACAGTTCATACTCTCAAGGTGCTCATACTCTAATTCTGTTCAATGATGGATTTTTTTCATTACACATTAGGTTGTCACTTAAGTAAAATTTCCATTTCAAAAATAGTCTTGCAAATAATCATTTGCCTGGGGTGAGTGATGGTGAATGACATAAAGGTAGGGCAGAATTCTAGATTCTAATTTGAATGACAACTAGTGATGCTTTTCAAATTATGTGAACTGATGCAAAGTGAAGGAAGTAGAACCAGGAAAATAATTACAATGACTAAAATGGTATAAATAGGAACAAAATAAAACAAATGCTGTTTAATTATAATGACAAAACTTAGTTCTAAAAAAAAAGTTTAGAAAATGTTCCTTCCTCCTTCCTTTGAAGAGGTGGGAGACCATGGGTGTAGAACATAGCATACACCATCATACTTAGTCAATGTTTTGGTTAATTTTGCAGAATTTCTTCCCTCTTGCTCCTTTCTTTTTCTATTGTTTCGGAAACTAGATGTCTGGGTAGGGGAGGGAAAGAGATATATTTGGAAATGAAGGTTACATAAAAATAAAATATCAGTAAAAATTAAAAAAAAAACCCCACTGTAGATGCTTTCCTTGAAGAAAAGCAGGGATTGGAAAAGAAAGGGGGAAGAGGGGTCAGCTAGGTGGCACAGTGGATACAGCACCAGCCTTGGAGTCAGGAGGACCTGAGTTCAAATGTGACCTCAGACACATAACTCTTGCTACTTGTGTGACACTGGGCAAGTCACTTAACCCCAATTGCCTCACAAAAAAAGAAAAGAAAGGGGGAAGACAGGGAGTGGCAATTACGTGCAAGAGAGGTTTAAAATTCAAAGTTCTCATCATCTATGGCCTGGTCTACTGTAATAGCTAATTAGATTCTTTGTTTCGTCTCTTCCCACTCCAATATGTCCTCCACTCAGCTGGCAAAATGATTTTCCTAAAGTGCAAATCTAACCATGTCATCACCCCCTCCCCTCAATTCAACAAATTCCATTGGCTCCCTATTACCTCCAGGATCAAATATAAAGTCTTCTGTTGGATTTTCAAAGGCCTTCACAACCTGGCCCCTTCCTACTTTTCCAGTCTTTTTATACTTTATTTCCTATACCTTTTGATTTAGCTTGCTGGCTTAATTGCCATTGTTTGTATAAGACACTCCATCTCCACGCCTTTGCAATGGCTGTCCTCTATGCCTGAAATACACTCCTTCCTCACTGTCCTTGACTTCCTTCAAAACTCAGCTCAAATCTAACCTGCAGGAGGTCTTTCTAGCTCCACTCCCCCCACATGTTAGTCTCTTTCCTTCTGAGATTACCTTCCATTTACTCTCTATATATTTTTTCAATACCTAGTTATATACATGTAGCCTCCCCAATTAGACTAGAGAGTCTCTGAGGGAAGGGACCTTGTTTTTGCCATTCTTTGTATCCCCAGGATTTATTACAGTATCTGGAACATAGAGAGCACTCAATAAATGCTTCTTGACTGACTGATTGATAATCTGTTATTTCCTCCCCAAAACTGCCTGGATCACAATATTCTTTAAAAAAAAAATAAAACCCCTCAAAAAAAAAAAGTCCTACTTTTGGGTGGTTCTTGCTTAGGTCCCTCAAGGGCATAGTCCCTGATGTCATAGGTGTATACATAACCCAGCTTGTCTGCCACATAGGCACAGGTGTCTCCTGTCGTCACCACAATGCTGCTGATCTGGGATTTTCCTCTGGACTAGAATGAATACAAATACATGGTGCTCATTAAAAACTGCTCATTTTTACCAAACAGTAGCATATTAAATACTGTCTGAAACCATTTAAAATGATAACTCATTACTATGCCTGTATCAGTGCTGGAGAATCAGGAAAAATATTCTCAAGTTCAAATAAAGCAGGCAGTCTATGCCTTCTGAAGACTGTTAAAAGCCAGGCAAGACTGATTTTTTAAAACATTCTTTGAAATGGTTCTGTCCAACTTACAGGTATGAAGCTGGCTACGAGCTGGGCCCCACTGAAAAGACTCCAGAAGGTAACAGAACCTGTGACAGAAGGGGAATTAAAAATGTCAAATGAATTTTCATTAATTTTTATACAGGATAACTCTAATGTGAGGAAGTATGGCACAATGAGCAGAGTGAAGGTCTTGGAGCTAGGAAAGTCTGTGATCAAATCTAGCCTCTGAGACTTTCTAGCTAAGTGGGCCTGAATAAGTCACTTACTCTCTGAGTCTCTGGTAACTCTAAAGCCATCAATTATAGACAGGCTCCAATCCGTAGAAGAGGGAATTAATTCTCTCCCATGTGGATGAAATCCCAGGTCCCTGACTCAGTGTAATACCCTCTTAGATTGCATGGCACTGAACAGTTCACAGAGTGTCTTGGTATTCTCCCACTGGATCCTCACTAAGGCTCTGTAAGGTAGGCATCATTACGGTTTACATATTGAATTGGAGATGATTGAATGGGAGCTTGGAGGGGATAAATGGCTGACCCCTATGGCTAGTACATTAGATAGTACATGGCAGAGCTCTGCCTAGAGTACAGGTCTCCTGACTCCTTCCTCATCTAGGATACTTTCTACCCTAGTGTAATTATTGAGTCCCCACAATGTGCAAGAGGCTATTCTGAGTAAATAAAACCTGGACCTCCTAAGAAGCTCATATTCTAATGAATCAAGATGGAGAAGGATCTCCTGTTGTTGTTGTTGTTGTTTTAATCAAAAGACAAGCTCTTCATCAGTCATGATATGAAATTCTGAATCCCCTGTCCCTAACTCTTACTCCCAAATATCTTGGTGTTTTTTGTGACCGTAGGCAGCTACCCTACAGAAAAACTCATATATCTGTGTATCTGTGTATGCATACATCTATATCGATACATGTATGTACATCATGTCATATATGTGACATTAAGAACTCATATGCATAAGCATATGCACACATATACATATGTATTTGTGTGTGTATATATATATACACACACACACATATATATGTATGTATAATATATATATACATATATATGTATATATGTATATATATATATATATATATATATATATATATATATATATATATATATATATATACACACACACACACAGTTATCCCTTCCACATTGCTACTTTTCCCATTGCAGTTTCAATATATTGTGAGTTGACATAAGAAATTAAATGGGAATTTTTGGGGAGTTTTGTGGAGGCCACAGATGATATGCAAAGGCCAGCAGGTGACACAAAGCTTATGACCAAATACTCAATCCAAATTTTACAATAAGGTACTGCAAATGCCCCATAAAAGAAAAAGAAAAAAATTCAAACTTCTTCCCTGGTATGAAGGGAGGGACAAATTTTTGTGCAGATTTTCCAGAATATGGGGAGCATTGTACCCCTAACTAACCCTCATGATGTGGAAGGGATAACTGCACACATACACACATCTATCTATCTATTATTCATTCATTCATTTACTCATTTATTTATTCATTTATTTACTTATCACAAACATTCTCCAGGTGGTTTGATTCAATTATCAACCTTGGAATCAATCACCAAGCATTTACTAAGTACCTACTATGTTCTAGGCACTGCTTGACAAAAATGAAACAATTCCTGCCCTTGGGAAGCTTCCAATCTACTTAGGGGAGATAATGTGTGAATGTAAAAGTATAATCAAAATATATAGGGTGTCCCAAGTTGCAGTTTTAATTACTGAACTGAGGCTTTTGGAACACCTGTATGTAAGAGAGGCATACGGTAATTAGAAAACACCGATAATGGAGAGATTAGGAAAGGCTTCATGAAGATGACTTCGTGAAGGCTGCTTAAGCTGCTCCTTGAAGGAAGCTAGGGATTATAAGAGGCAGAGGTGAAGAAAGGAATGAATCCCAGGCATGCAGAATAGCCAGTGCAAAAGTATGGAGATGAGAGATGGCTTATCATAGGAGAGGCAGAAAGCCAGTTTTGTTAGACTGTAGAATATGTGAAGGGGAGAAAGTGCCTAAAGGTAAGATGGGCCCATGTAGTGAAGGACTTTAAATGCCAAACAGAGGAGGTATAATTTATTCCAACAGGTAATAGAGAACACTGGAGCTTAGTGAGTAGGGGAGTGACAAAGTCTGACCCATATGTTTGGAAAATCACGTTGGCACATGCATGGATGATGGGTTGGAGAGGAGAAAGACTTCAGGCAGGAGAATTAAAGGTGAAGGTGACTCAATGGTGGGTGTAACTAAGCTGCAACATATTGCCCACAATGACCCATGCACAAGAGGGGGCATAACGCATACAATCCAGGGACTGTATGACTGGAAAAGGAGCTGGGTTGGTCATGTAGTGTGTATGAGTGATAACAGATAGGCAGCCTGGATGCTGAACTGGCTTCTATACAGTGAAAAAGAATGAGAGGACAGCCTCTAGCACTTTGGGTATTGAACAAGTATTGCACAGGATGAAAGGGATGGGGGAGTGGCCATTGCAGCATTGGAAGGCTTGTGTTGACATGTACTCCCAATTAATGAGGATAAGTTTCCCAAAGGAGGTGAATTCTGCAGTAAGCTTCAGTTGGAGACATAGGAGAGTGGGATTAATTATTTGACAGTATTAGTTTATTTTTACAATTTCTTACATAAGTGCACTTACAGATGTGTTCCGGAAATGGTGTGTGCTTTGAATTTTTATATCTCTGATCATTTTATTTCCTCTCTCTGGACCTCAGTTTTCTCATTTGTTGGATGAGGGGACTAAGACAAGATTTCTAAAGCCTCTTCCAACTCTAACATTCTATTAATTTGTATTTCAAATACAAGAGCTTATGCTCCAAAGCTTCCTCCTCCTAGAGAAACTCTCTGAAGAAGCTTTGAACCTAATTAGCTTTTTCAGGTTAGGATTTTAATTTATCAGATTTTCCAAATAGGGCTCACTCCCCAACCTGACACATGCTCAGAAATTAACTGGCCATTCTTTACCCTCACATACATATTTTTACATAATTTTACATAAAATTCTCTACTCCTCTTTCTAGAATAAGAACTCTTGGTTCCCAATCCAGGGTGGGCAGAGATGCTACAGAGCAGAGGCTGGAGATTGAGCCATCTCTAGGTTATACATAACTGGGCCTCAACTAGACAGTGAGTGCTAGATAAGATCTCAAGCCCTAAGCTCTCCCATTATTGCCAAGGCAAAGAGCCAACCTGCCTTGTTACTTGCCTCTTTTATGTACATTCCTCAGGCTACTTCTGGTCTACTTGTGACATCTTTCTCCCTGTAAGGCTGCCCTTTATGCTTACTATAACTTGGTATTCAATTCACCCTGCCCCTATCCAGGGATAACTAGAAGATAGATGCATGACTCTAAGGCAACTGGACTTGCTCATTAAGAGATATTTGATGTGAAGGGATATGTCGTGTGAACATGCCCCTAGAATTAACTGTCCATCTTCTTCCTGTTAATAGAGGAGTCTAGCCAGCCAAGCTTCCATCAAAATAGGATGGATCATAGCAGGAAATCAGTGGGGACCTAGAAAATATGTTCAGGGCTGTTTCTTGCAAAATGTGTCTGTAAAAGCGTCTTTGGTAAATTGCTGCAGGAAAATCAATTTATAAGAGAAACAGCTGTATTGATGACAATTCCTGTTCTTACCTTGGGGCCCATTGGAAATGAGAGAAGCAGCTCTTGATTCAAATTTGGCTGCACGGGTCTTTAGGAATGTGAGATGAGAAACACTTCTGTCTGTAACATGAGATGGGGAGAAAGGCATAAAACACATATCCATCTGCAAACAGAATTGTTCCCAGGATTACCTCCTGCAAATATGATAGCTGATGAACGTGAGGAGGCAGCTCCTTCGGCCATGCTGATTGCAATGCTGACTGATCTAATGGTCTACTTAACAGTTATTTGCCCATCCATGGGGTCAAGCCAAAATATGAATGATAATGGGTGAAATTGAGCTAAGGGGCATTTCTAGCACCACTGCTCCCATCTTCAGCCCCCTTGAGGAGGCTCCAGTTATGGAAAACAGTGATTTCCTTGGATTTTCTTCTCCTTCAGTGGGAAAAAGGATAGAATTCATGGGATACAAGTCATACAAGGAATATAGCCAATAGTTGAGCTAATGGTCAGTCCAAAAGACAGAAATCCTTCAGATCTTTCAAATCTTCATCTCAAGCCTTCGTGACTCCAAATCTAGCACTATACACTGCACTACCTAGCTGTATTAACATCCCCATTTTACAGACAATTGCATGCCATATCTTTTTTTTCTTCTTCTTGATTTTTCTTTTAAACTAATTTGACTTTTCTGATGAGTCAGTGGTCTGACTCTATACACACAGCTGAACCAGGGATAACTCCCACATCAATAACAAGTCTTTTCCTGTTTGTTAATATAATACTGAGTGTGAATGCATTAATCTATTATCACTGTAGTAGAGTTCAGGCTCTGAGAGAACTGGTCACATCACCAGGAGAGTTGGTGGTGGTGGTTAATTGGAACATTGGCCCACCCAGCCAAGGTAGCCCTAATGTGGTAGACCATGAGATGGAGGAAGAGAGGACTGGACAAATGAGCTTCTGCTAATGAGAGATCTGAAGGGTGAGGGAAGGAACTAAAATAGGATGAAGCAAACACTGAAGACAAATTTCACCTACTTTATGACAGGGTTAATAACTCTTCTCCTTCCAGAGCTTTTGTTTCCTTTATGTTTTATTATGTAATATAATTTTGGCAATAATATAATCGTTCATATTTCTTCAATGCTATGAGATTTATATACTGCTTTCCTTATAACAGCATTGGGAAGTAGGTCTTGCAAAGATAGTTACTTTTATTTTATACATGAAGGAGGCTCAGAAAGATGAAATAACTCCACCAAGGTCACTCAGGTAATAAATAGCAAGATCAGGACTACAATCCAGATCTCCCTACTTTAGATCCAGTGACATATTCTAAAAAATCTCCTTTGAATTTATAAATTCACCTTCTCCCTAATGGTTACTATTCCCAGGTATGGGCTAAGTTAGTCACTCAGTGAACAAGCATGTATTAAGCACTTACTATGTGCTAGACATTGTGCTATGTGCTGGGGATACAAAAAAGGGGCAAAAAACAGTCCATGCCTTCAAGGAATTATGCACCAGAATTTTAGCTGAGATTTGAAGGAAGCCAGGAAATTCAGGAGATAGAGATGAGGAAAGAGAGCTTTCTAACCATGGAAAACAGACAGTGAAAATGCCTAGAGTCGGGAGATGGGCTTCTATGAGGAACAGCAAGGAGGCTAGTAACACTAGATTGCAGTGTGTGGAGGGGATGTAAGTGTAAGAAAACTGGAAGGGTAGGAGGGACAAGATTATAAAGAGCTTTAAAAGCCAAACAAATGACTTTATATTTCATCCTGGAGGATAATAGGGAACCAGTGGAGCTTAGTGTGTGCGTGTGTGTGTGTGTGAGAGAGAGAGAGAGAGAGAGAGAGAGAGAGAGTGTGATAGAACTGCACTCTAAGACAATCACTTTGATAGCTGAGTGAACAGAGGGGAGACCTGAGGCAAGGACACCAACCAGCATGCTATTGCAATAATCCATGCGTGAGGTGATGAGTCTATACCAGGGTGGTTGCGGTATCAGAAAAGGGTCTATTTCAGAGATGTTGTGAAGGTAGAATTAAAAAGACTTGGCAACAAGTGGGTTGATGATAGTGTTCTTGACAGTAATAAGGAAGTTGACTGGGCTCTACAAGAGGCCCTGGTCCACCAGACAAATTTGATTCCAAGTCTAAGTCTTCTTAAGAGGCAGCTAGGGATAAGAGCCCACTCTTTGAAAAAAACTGCTGGGAAAACTGGAAAAGAGTATGGCAGAAACTAGGCATAGACTCACACCTCACACCATATACCAAAATAAAGTCAAAATGGGTTCATGATTTAGATATAAAGGCTGATACTATAAGCAAACTGGGAGAACAAGGAATAGTTTACCTATCAGATCTATGGGTGACAGAAGAATTCATGACCAAACAGGAGACAGAGAACATTAAGAAAAGCAAAATGGATAATTTTGGTTACACTAAACTGAAAAGTTTTTGCACAAACAAAGCCAATGCAATTAAGATTAGAAGGAAGGTATAAAATTGGGAAAGAATTTTTACAACCAGTCTCTCTGATAAGGGCCTCATTTCTAAAATATATAGAGAATTAAGACAAATTTATAATAATACTAGCCATTCCCCAATTGATAAATGGTCAAAGGATATGAAGAGACAGTTCTCAGATGAAGAAATTAAAGCCATCTATAGTCATATGAAAATGCTCTAAATCATTATTGATTAGAAAAATGCAAATCAAAACAACTCTGAGGTACCACATACACCTATCAGATTGGCCAACACGACAAAACAGGAAAATGATAAATGTTGGAGAAAATGTGGGAAAATTAGAACACTAATGCATTATTGGTAGAGTTGTGAAATGATCCAACCACTTTGGAGAGCAATTTGGAACTATGCCCAAAGAGCTATAAAAATGTGCATACCCTTTGACCCAGCAATAGCACTTCTAGGGCTATATCCCAAAGAGATCATAAAAAAGAGAAAAGGACCCATATGTACAAAAATATTTATAGCGACTCTTTTTGTGGTGGCAAAGAATTGGAAATTGAGAGGATGCCCATCAATTGGGGAATGGCTGAACAAGTTGTGGTGTATGAATGTAATGGAATACTACTGTTCTATAACAAATGACAAGCAGGCAGATTTCAGAAAAACCTGGAAAGACCTATATGGTCTGATGCTGAGTGAAGTGAGCAGAACCAAGAGAACATTGTACACAATAACAGCCACATTGTGCAGTGACTAATATTGATAAACTTAACCCTTCTCAGCAATACAAGGACCTAAGACATCTCCAGAGGCCTTGTGATGGAAAATGCTATCCACATCCAAAGAAAGAACTATGGAAGCTGAATCACCATCATTTTTTTTCTCTCTTTCTGTTGAGTTTTGTTTCCTCTTTCTGATGGTTCCTCCTATTGGTTTTAATTTTTACTTACAACTTCACTAATGTGAAAATATGTTTAATAGGAATGTAAATGCATAGCCTGTATCAGATTGTGTGCTGTCTTGGGGGGTGGTAGGGAGGAAGGGGGAGAAAAATTTTAAACTCAAAAGCATATGGAAGTGATTGTTGATAACTCAAAATAAATTAATAAAATTTAAAAAAAAAAGAAAAAAGAGGCAGCTAGGTGGTTCAGTAGATAGACCACTGGGCCTGGAGTCAGGAAGACTTAAGTTCAAATATGGCCTTAGACACTTACTAGCCTTATGACCTTGGGTAAGTCATTTAACATGGGAATAATAAGATCAACACGGGGTTGTTGTAAAGATAAAATTTGATAAAACATGTGAAGTGCCCTCCAAACCTTAAAGCCCTATATAAATGTTGGCATCATTGTATATTCAAACACCAAGCTTTGCCCTTAAACGTACCTTCTGGGTCTTCAGAGTGGTGAGTAGGGACAGGTGTGTTTAGCTTGCAATGTATGTGTCCTGAGATCATATTCCAAATGATAATTTCCCCATCATAGCTAGAGGTGGCAAGAAGAGAAGGTGGGCACTGAACCACACATAAAATATCATCCTTGTGTCCTCGGGTCTATAAGAATGATAGGTAGGGAGATAGAGAAAATGAGACCGAGCAGTGAATCAATCAATGGATATTTGTTAATTGCCTATACTACGTGCCGTGCTCTGTGCTAAGCACTAGGGCTACAAAAAGAGGCTGTAAAGGAGAAAATCCAGAAAGACACCTTCCTTTGCAACTAGCCTTATGCTTAGGGGATTATTCTGGTCTCTTGTGTGGTTTAACGTAGTCTAGTGGATTGGGCATCTAGGTGGCACAGTAGATAGAGTGCTGGGCCTGGAGTCAGAAAGACTCATCTTCCTGAGTTCAAATCTGGCCTCAGACACTTATTAGCTGTGTGACCCTGGGCAAGTCACTTAACCCTATTTGCTTCCATTTTCTTATCTCTAAAGTAGGTTGGAAAAGGAAATGGTAAATCACTTCAGTATCTATGCCAAGAAAACCCCAAATGGGGTCATGGAGAGTTGGACATGTCTGAAACAAATGAATAACAGTGGATCCAGGAAAACTCTCTTCAGGTCAGACAGTAATTTTAGATTAGAGACAGCTCAGTATGAGAGAAAGAGGATTGGATTTGGAGTCAGAGTATCTGAATCTAATACGGGCCTCTCTGGGCATGTCCAGTTCTAACGTGGAGATGGCCCCAAGGGGCCTTTGAGCATGCCCAGTTTGCCTAATGTGGAGCCTACAAAGAGCCCTACCATGTGGGAGAGGGAAACTTCCTTTGAATGGCTGCCTGTGACTCTAGAAGTGAGGAGACTGAGCCATTAACTCTCTTTTCCATCACTTTTGTCTGCTATGCTCTTTTGAGCAACTTTTATCTGCTCCTGCAAGCATGGATGCCATGAACTGAATGTCTAGGAGGGGAAGGAATATCCTTTCTTCTCTCTTTTACCCCTGCTCCAAGGAACGGAGCTGGGGGTATTTGTTTATGTTCTGTGTTATTTGTCCTCAGTTTCAGGTTCCAGAGGCAATCCTCAGAGACCTGTAAGTTTGAGTCCTGATGACCTGGGAGTCAGTGGGGGAGGAGGATTATGCCTCCCACATGTTGGGAGCATAAGTTCTTATATTTGTGATCATGTCTTTAAGTACATATTCCTTTGTAAAAGGTCCCGTGTTACATGTGGGGACCAAACTATTTTCTATTAGAACTTGGTATGCCCAGAGAAGTCTGGGTTGCATGAGCTTGAATTCTGCCTTTTGCTACTTACCTATTACTACCTGTGTAATCATGGTGATGTCACTTATAACTTTTCTTGGCCTCAGTTTCTTCATCTGTAAAAAGGGGGGATGGTATAGAGGATCTTCACAGTTTTTCCTAGTTCTAAATCCCATTATATTCCCTGGTCTCACTTTTCCCATGAAGTCAACATTTCTGCCACCTTTCTCACTCGGCTGACTTGTAGTATTCACAAGAGCACTTGAACTCCTTGCATAGAAAGAATGAATGGAAACGAAAATTCAGCTGCCTTCTTTATCCCCAGCCTGGCTGTGATTTGTCTTGCAGATTGCCACAGAGCAACACAATACTGAACTCTCCAAGGTGGTCCAGCTTTCAGAAAACAACCTCAGCTCTCCATCTGCATGCAAAGCCCTCTGATTACTAAATCTTTTCATACTTTCCACCTGGTCACCGTGGTAGTGAGTGCACGCTGATCAGAATTCAAATGATCTGCCCTTTTCAAAAGATGACTCTCAGGAAGCTATTAATTATCCTGGGCTGAGCCAGATGGCAGGCAGCCTTTAAGAAAGAAAAGACATTTAAAAATGATCTTCCAAGATTGTTACTGCAGAGTTGTAAAGATTTCCTATGACATCAGGTTTAAACTTTAGCTCTATTTAACTCATCTCTTCTTTTCCAGTGGAGGTAAATTGAGTGACAGTTAGTTTATTAATATGTCTATGAAGATCTTGCTGGTTCTGAAGAGACTCCCATTTTTTCCCAAATACCCCAAGAATGTCCATGTGGGTGATAACTCACTGAATAGCCTGGTAGTCAGGTGACATACATTTTAATTCAGTTCTGCCACTAACTTGTGAGTCTGTGAATGAGTGACTTTTCTTAAGTGAGACTTAGTTTCCTCATCTATAAAATGAATGGGCTGGCCTAGTTGATCTCCAAAGTATCTTCAGGTCTATAATTCTAGTTGGCGGTGGGGAAGGAAGAGGACTGAAGAAAGAAATCTGGAAAGAAGAGGTAGTTTATTTATTCCTACAATTTATTCCCACTCAGCTGCTATACACCTCCTTATTCCAATGCTCCCTGCTTCCCTTCCTCTCCCCTCCCCTCTTGCCCAACACTGCCCAAGGCTATATGAGAGGCCATGTATGTATCCCTTGATATAGCTATCACTTCACTGAGCTTGAACACCCTTGGAGGAAAATTGAGCATTTGCTTAGTAGTCTATAGGTCAATCTGTACTTTTTGAAGAGAGGACAGGAGAAGGAAAGGGAGAATTGGAGAAGAGAGACCGAGGGAGAGGGGGAGAAAGAGAAAGAAGGAGGGGGGGAGGGAGAGAGAGAGAGAGAGAGAGAGAGAGAGAGAGAGAGAGAGAGAGAGAGAGAGAGAGAGAGAGAGAGAGAGAGAGAGAGAATCAATACCCTGTCTTCCTTGGGAGCTTACCTTAGTGATGTGCCATGCTATGGATTTACCCCTAAAAATTAACAGTGTTACTGACTGAGAAGTAAAAGGGACCTAAGAGATTATCTAGTTCTAGTTTGCCCTTATAAAGGAGAAAACTGCAATATAGAGACGTTTAGTGACTTGACCAAGGTTACACAGGTTATAAGTAGAGAGTAAGTTTAAGGCTGGTACTGTATCACTTTTTCCTTTATATCACTAGTGCCTAACAGAGTACCTGGCACATAGTAGGTCCTTGATAAATGGTATTTGATGATTTAATGACAGAACCTTTATTTGAATATGATATTCTTATTTCCAAGTCCCAGGTTCTTTTCACTTACTACATTGCCTCCCCTCAGACAGTAGGCGTGAAGGCCATTTAACTCTTCTAGGAACTTAGGGACATTTAGAGTCCTCATGTGAAGCACAGAGTTCCTCTGGCAGATGGGTATTGGATCATGGGGTCTAATATTTAGTGTTGGAAAGGGCTGTAGATATTATGTGGTCTAACCCCCTCATTTTGGAGTTGAGGATGTTGAACATCAGAAATGTTAGAAGACTTGCCCAAAGTCACATAGATAAGTGTCAGAACCAAGATTTTAACTCTAGTTTTCTGATTCTCAATCTAATGCTATTCCCAGTACATTCTGTGATCCCTGCAGGCAAGCATGCAGCCAACTTGAAGTCCCTGTGCCCTCTAAGTTTGGGCAACCATTTAAGGGAAGAGCATTGAATTTTTACAACTGTATACTTGTGAGGGAGCCCTGGAGTGGGTGTATATGAGGCTTCTAGTTTACCTATGATATCTTCATCATCAGCTTCTAGCTCTGCCCATCAACATGTTAGGTCAGTCAGTCTGACCCTAGGATCATGCACGCTCTTTATCTTGCTAGGCAACACCTCAATGTGAACAGTTCTGTTCAGGGATAAAGTAATTTAGCCGAAGTTCCTTTTAGTACTAAACTTATCATCTGGACTTGGGTAGTAGGCTACACCACCATACCAACAATTCTTGGGCACTTTTTCCTTTCCCAGGTAAGTCAATGAAGTTCCAAGGCTCCCTTGGACAAAGGAGACATTCCTTTTCATTCCTACTTTTCAAGGAGTGAATAAGAACTGAAGGTAAAACTTACTAGATCATCCGGCCAATGTGGCTGAGGCTTCCAGAAGTGATGGAAGTCATGAGGAGAATCCTGCACCAAAAATCAAAGAGGACAAACTGTCCATAACTAGAATGATGAGCAGCCAATACAGTCTTGTGACAGAGAGAAGGATATGTTCCACCTCCTAACCCTTCAAAATTCAGCTTACTGGGCCTCGCCACTGATTTAAATCCTCAAAATGTCAAAGCAAAGCTCCCTTGAGCCCATGTAAATGAGAAGTAATGCAGTGCAAAAGCATTAAGGTAATTGCATTTCAGAAAATCATATTTCTGGTGACAGCTTTTGCTAGGATGCTGATGAAAGAGTGGGCCAGTCACTGCCCAGTCTTCATTATTATACCTACAGCTATTTATTGCACATTGTGCTATAAACAAAAAAAAAATGTAACTCTGAAGTACAAGCCTTACACTAAAAAAGCTGGGTAATCAGCTCCCCAATAAGCCTGAGAATGAATGTAAACCTGTCCTCCCAGAAAATACTCTTTCACCTTGTGTTGTGTGAATAAAGAAAGGAAGTATATATATCTTAAAATAAAGGAATATTTTTCAAATGAATAATTAACTTATGATTTGGAACTAATTTTCTGTTATGTCTGACTGTATTATGGAACCATAGCATAAGAGGTTGACCATTCATTTTGGCCATTATTTTTAACCTCTCTCTTTTCTCTGCTTAACCTCACTGGGCCCAAGACACGGAAAAAGATGGACAAGATTTTGTTCTTGGCTATTAACAAAGCTATTAACTGATGAGAGTGGCAGAGAAACCTACATATATGTGTTTTCTAATTGTGCTAATTTTTAGTGATTCCTCTCTTGCCACATTACTACCCCTGTATACAATGGACTCAGTGACCTCTTAGGTCCCTTTCAGATCTAAAACTATGATTCTCTCTCTTCCTCTGCCCTCAAAAAAAAAAAACTAAAACAAGAAAAAAAAATAAGCATCTTTATCTCACAGCTGCTACCTAGTGGCTAATAGATTTATTTGAGTTTCACTTTCTTGATCTTCCCTGGGTCCACCTTTTGATAGTGGGAACAGTGAGCAGCAATATGAACAAGAGGGAACAGGAAGAGAAGCAAAGAGCCCAGATGAATTATAGTCTGGATAATCAGCCTCCGAATATTCTTTGGTTGGTTGCCACAAAACTAGAGACAACTAAAGCTGGTCTGGTCCCTGACATAAGAGGAAATAGTGCCCTTCAGCACACCAGTTGCCTTGCCTTTGATTGAGATTGCCTTTGGATAACAGAATGGGCAAGCTCAGAGCCCTGTCCCAGGTAATTCTTTGCTACCCTAGAAAGTTTCTGTCTTGCTCCTAATTTCTATTTCCTTCCCCCATGCCAAGATATTGTCATTTTCTTTAGCAAAAACATTTTAGAAAAGAAGACTGTAACTTTGATTGTATTGGATTCTCAAAGAATTCCATTGGCATTTCAAAGGGAAAAAATTATTCTTCTCACTCTTCTTGCATCTGCTTTCCCTCTAGACATGTATGAGCACACAAGTAGGTAATATACATATGTTTTCTATTCAACAAACATTTACTGAGTACATAATATGTGTGAGGTACTGTGCCAGCCTATGAGAGACAGAAAAAGATGGACAAGGTAGGGTATTTTTTTTTGCTATTAACAAACACCATTGATGAAAGTGATGAAGAAACATATATATATATATATATACATATATATATGTGTATATATATTATGTATATATATATATATATATATATATATATATATATATATATGCCTTTTATGATACTCCTAGTTTTTCGTGATTACTCCATTTCTCTGTCCCCAGGTCCCCTTAATATTTTTCTTCTGTAACATGTTTCACTCTGGCTCTCTCAGGGCCAGGCCTGTTACATCTCCCCTTCAGGGTTCTCAGGTATGCTTTTGTGGGCATCTTTTTTCTCTGCCTTCAGCTTAAACCTCCACCAGCTATGCAGTAATTAGTACCACAATTCCATTTAACCATTTAACATTGGGTATCTTTGACAAAGGAGTCTTTACTTTGAACATTTCCATAAACACTTTAGGGGTGTACTCTTTCCCATACAGGGAGGTCAAGGGTTTAGGCTCAAACTCTATCTTAGTTCTTATATAGCATTGATCTCATCAAATTCATGCCAAGTTGAAGCATGACTAATGGATGAGCCTCCCTCGCATCTGCTTATGGGATAGATTCCTCAAAGTCAGTCAGCCAAACAACTAGCATTTATTCAGTGTCAGGCGCTATGCTAAGTCATGGAAGCTCACTCCCCCAAATCATTTCTTGTTCTTCAGGATGCAGATATCACAAAATTGATACTCTGGAATGACAGGATGCTGAGGACTCCTCATGACTTTAGAATGCACCGGGTCACAGACTCCCTCTCTCTTTAACCCAGAGGTCTTCCTATCCTCACCCCTCCCCAATAGAGTGCTAAAACCAAGAGGTAGAGGATGAAGACGAGAAGCCTTTTTGAATTAATCTGTAGTCAATAAAATGCCTTTTCTTCAGCATGTGGTTAGCTGACTGAAACCAGTAACAGAATGTCTACACATGTTTCATAGTCTGCCTTTCCAAGGCAATTCTCAAATTATCCTGTAAGAAGTGCCCTAGCATTCTCCATGTGGAAAGAAATCATTTTCTCCTTAGTGGCTTCTACCTTGAGATGCCATCTTGGGTGCTCTGAGCATGCACCAAACCACCACTGCATTTATAGATGTAAACCTAGGGCAGTTTGGCAGTCTCATGAAGGACAGTCTTGTGATACTGCATACTGCATCATTTAGGGTGATGTGACTCCTGACTGACTGAGAAATTGCCAAGAGAAAAGAGAAATAAAAGAGAAAAGAAGGGTCAAGGAGAGAATGCACAGACTTTGAATGGAGAATGGAAGGCCCCCAGAGCCATAGATATTCAGGGGAGAGCTGGCATCCCAATATGTTCCTCTAATGCTGGTGCCTGAGCCCTGGGGACTGCTAAGAACAGGCTTTTTAGATGAGGTCATTCATTCCTCACTTGAGCTGAAATTTCATCTCACTCCCTGGACACAAAGCCCTCTTTACTTTTGTGTGAACTAATCTCTATAGCTTCCCTATTAATGTTTTTTCTTGTTTGCTTCAATAAATATGTTTGCTTTCTATCCATAATTGATTTTTGTGTAATAATCATTTGGAGGAAAGGGAGAGAAGCTGGCCATGGCTATGCTAATTGTTACTCTTCAGGTTTCAGGTAGAATTATTTCCACTCTCCACCCCTACCCCCTTAATGGCCAGGTAAAATGTCTTTCATCCTAAACACCTCTACCCCCATTATATACTTTGCCTGCAAATAATTGATGTGTAATAGATATAAGTCATAGTATGCATAAAGTTCAAATTAGTCTCTATCTTACAGAAGCTGAAAAGGCTGAAAGAATACACCTCTGCTCTTTAGGTTTTTGCTTAGAATGAAGTCTGTCATGGAAGAATGGAAGAAGGGTTTCATGGAAGAAATAAGGAAGAAAACGGATCTCAATGGTCAAAGGTCAATCCTAACCTATGTCAGGATGTCTAATGGTGGAATAATGTGGCATAACAATGACCACTGAGCAGTTGGAGTTTAATAATAACTCTGGGTCACTTTACATGGAGAGGGGAACCAGATCATCTCAAGAAGAAGCACCTTCTAGTCCTATAAGGAAAAATTATATAAATCCATTGGTGTCAACAGGAGATGAAGGCTGATTGTTCACGACTTCCTAATAAAGGGTTATTGAGGATATAAATAACGAGTTGTCTGGAGCATGTTTCTGGTTCATGATGATAGCTTCTGAAAGTTGTCATATATGATGGACATTACCTACTTCTGATGATTTACATTGGGACAATTATACCACCAGGAAGAATCTAGAAAGCATTGCTAAAGATTATAAGTTCTGAGGGAAATAAAAAAATTGAAGGCCTTAGGGACAAGGTGGTATTTTCAACATCACTGATTTTTTTGAAGGTGGAAGGTTCAGAAGACAAATGTGGATTTAAGGAGTGAACAGAAGACTTCAGAAGATAGTGTCTGAGAATGAGATTTTGATTTTATGAATTTCAGCTTAAAATACCATAATGATTGGCTTTTGAGAGATGGAATGTACCTGATTAGGATTGGTTAAAAAAAAAGTATTTTGTTTGGAATCCTCTGAAGCAATTTAGCCTCTAGGCTCATTTTCTTAACCCACACTCCAAATAGCAAGTTGGGTCCCCACAGCACGTCTGATTACATATCCCTTCAGGGTCCTAGAGATAACCCAGAAGGATTAGGGTATCCTTCTAGTACTGTTGTCCACGAATCCCCATCAAGTTAACATCTCCTCAGTATCATCTAACCAATCATTAATACCATGATATTCCCATTGTTCTTCCTCAGTATCAATGAATCAATTAACATCAATTAGCTTTTACAAAGGGATATTTACACAGATTGTATAGCAAGACCTGATGTACAAACACTTCTGAGACCCCGGTGCACACTCTTCCCTATTTCAGCTGTTGGATTTTTTTCTGACCTTTCAAAATTCATAAGGTCATGATCTTGTCCATTCTGTATCTGACACTCATTTATCTAAGATCAAGTAGAAGAGGAAGATACAGCTCCATGTGTTTGGTATGACATGGCAACTAAGTGGAGGGGAGACTCCCCCATCCATAGGTTTACAGGATTTTTTTCTTCCTCACTCAAAAGCTACTAGGGGAAAAAAAGATCTTTGGTCCATTTGTGCCTTTTGCATGCACACTCAGTTCTAGCTCAAAGGCTTTTCTTCACTAGTACACAGGCATAGACTACCTATACCTGCACTGAATCAGGGTTCAGCACTTCTATTATACATGCCTAGATGCAGACTCACCGACCCTCCACACAGATCCATACTAGGCAGAGAACACCTTGCATATTCCTAAGGACTGGGCTTTTCTTGGCCAGTCATTCATTATGCCTGTAAATCTGCTTAGAACTTTAAACTGAAATTTGAAGAGGAAGAAGAAAAATGTCCAAATAGATCTAGATATTATAGAGAGCAGCAGTCATAACATAGAAAGAATAGCAGGAGAAAGAACCACTAATTCACAAGAAACAATATCCAAAAAGAGGAAAAGCAATAAAACTCATGGCTTGGGACCCATAAATTCACAAAATATGAGTAATAAATAGAGTACACTAGAGATCTTAATGCAAGGAGGTAAATATCAACTCATATGGACCACTGAAACTTAATAAGATGTGATTCATGACTGGAATATGACGCAGAAAAGGTCTATTTCATTCAAAAGAAATAAAGTAGATTTAAAAGGTGGGGTAGGGCAGCATTATATATTAAGAAGACAGACTGATTTCAGGAAAGCTAAGACAGAGGAAGCATACTGAAGAGCATTTGAGTAAGAATCAATGGAGGTAGAAATAGTATCAACATTGTGATAGCATTATAATCTGGACAAAAGGGAGAATTAGATAAGTTTGCAAAGCACATCACAAACTTAGCATAGAGGTATGATACAGCAGTGATGGGGGACTTTAATTATCTGGATATCTTTTGAAGCCCTCTCTCTGCTGATGGTGGAACATCTGACAGATTCCTGACTTGCCTTAATGATTATTTCATTCTTCAAAGGGAAAAAAAGCCACAAGAACTGGTATTATGGCTCTGACTGATCAACAAGAGGGAATTTGTTGCTAGAGTAGACATGATTCAAACTGTGGCAGTAAGAAATAATTCCGTCTCAAAATTCACTATAGAGAAAGAGAAGAAAGCTAGGCATAGTCTGACATGCAAAATATATTTTAGGAGAGTAGATTTTAAAGGGTTCAGTGAAAGGATAGGTGATCAACTAAGTTAGTAAACAAGCATTTAATAAATGCCTACTATGTGCCAGGCACTGGAGATACAAAGATAAATGTGAAACAATTCTTACCTTTAGGATATTACAATCTAACCAGGGGAAACAACATGTACATATATGTAAGGAGAGATGGGCTAATAAGGGCTATTCATTGGGCAGGAGTTCTTAACCTTTTTTGTATCATGGACCCTTTTGGTGGTCTGGTAAGGCCCATGGACCCATTGTCAAAAGCGTTTTTAAATTCATAAAATAAAATACAGAAGATTACAAGGAAACTAATTATATTGGAATGGTTATAAAATATTAAACATAAAAAAACCAAGTTCATAGACCATAGGTTAAGAATTTCTGTCTCAGTCCCATAATTTTTTAAAATTATCTCTCCTGGATCTATTTTCCAGGTCAGTTGTTTTTCCAATGAGGAATTTCACATTGTTTTCTATTTTTTCATTCTTTTGGTTTTGTTTTACAATGTCTTGATTTCTCATAAAGTGACTAGCTTCCAATTGCTCCATTCTAATTTCTAAGGAAGTATTTTCTTCAGTGAAATTTTGGACTTCCTTTTCCATTTGGCCAATTCTGCTTTTTAAGGCATTCTTCTCCTCATTGGCTTTTTGGACCTCTTTTGCCATTTGGGTTAGACTACCATGTATGTTAAGTTGGAGCCCACTCTCCCTATGGACTTCCTATGTGCAAGGAGAGAGTGTGTCCCTCAGTCTGGTATAGAGGGTATTTTTGCACCTTCTGTCCTTTCTATATCTTCTTGGTAAATATCTCTTTTGTAAAAACCAATTGATATCAGCTGGTTGATTGATAATGAGAGGCACATTGGATAGAGGCTTGTGAGAGACAGTACTAGGAACTCCTATTTCTCAGGATTAGCCAATCCTCAGGGTTACCTTTTGAACCCTGGGAGGAGCAGTAGTCATTGCTCTTTGAAAACCCAACTTGCCAGTGCAAATGGGAGTTGGGAGAATGAGCACAAAGAGAAAGCTATACCTAGTTTTACAACCTTAGACTATCCTTGATTCTTCCCTCTCCCTGAACTCTCATCCTCCAAGTCTTATTGATTTTAGTTCTATAGTATCTCTCACATATCTGTTCACCTTTCCATTCACATAGCCTTTATCCTAGTATACATCCTCATCACTTTTCCCACGCACCACTACAACTGCCTCCTAATTTGTCTCCATATTTCCAAGTTCCTCAGAGCTGCCAGACTGATATTCCTAAAATACAGATATGATTATGTTACCCCTCCCTCACCTCTCAACCTCACTTCAAAAATCTTCAGCCTTTAGCATAAAATACAAAATTCTCTGTCTGACATTTAAAGCCTTCCATAATTTCTCTCCTACCTATATATCTTTTTTTTTCAGCCAAAGACAAGGTTTATTAGAACATTGTCATATTGGGCAGACTCTTAGGGAGTCTAAACGTGAGTAAGCAGTGTCTAGATTTCAAGAATGTAAGCCTCTACCTATATTTCTAATGTAATTTCATTTTACTCTCCTACATGCACTCTATTTCAGTCAAACCGACTTTCTAGCTATTCCTCATTCTCTACCTTTCTGCCTTTGGATACAAATTGAGCTACCTGACTATGCCTTAAACCCAATTCACTCTGGCTCTCACTGATTGGCCAATACTAGGTCCCAGCCCAAGCCTCACTTGGTCATTGTTTGGGTTCTGATGGCTCAGAGAGAGTGTAAATAGCAACTATTTCTGTTCTGGTCAGAAGACCTGAGGGTTTTCCCCTCCCAGATTGATTTTTTTTTGAGTAGACCAACTAGGCCATCTTTTGCCTCTTTTTTCACCTAGCCTTACATCACTTAATCACTGAATGGGTGATGCATCAGACAAACTGACATCTGGGAAAGACCTTAGCTTAAAAAGGCCAAGGTTTCCCCACTATATCTGGGGTCATGTCTAGTCATCCTGACCTATGGACTCAGATGACTCTGGAGAAGAGAGTAAGTTTGATGACTTTGCACAGCCTTGCCTCACTTAAATCCAGTTTGCTGGCAAATCAAGACATCACTCTCCTGATGTCATTGGTCCTCTTAAAGAACAAAAGGTGAACAACAAAAAACATGGTCCTCACGTCTGAAATGCATCTGGTACCTCCAACTGATAGAATCTTTAGTTTCCTTTAAAGCTCAGGTGCTACTTTCTGTGGTGACTTTTCCTGATTTCACCAATTATTTGCATCCTTTCCTTCTCGAAATAATTTTGAATTTACTAACATTGGTAAATATTGTATTTTTCCAGTAGAAAAATTTTAAAAAAGCATGGAGCCTTGAGAGGTAGTACTAAGCATTCCTTCCTCTCAGGATTATACAACTGTCAGGGTTACCTGACACATGCTTTCCTTGCACATGGAAAGTCCATGAAGAGAGTGGGCTCCAACTTACTACACATGGTAACAAGGCACGTGCCAAATGCAGCTAAGGAGTATCTTCTTACTTCTAGCACTAGAGGTCTTTTTACTTGATTCATGGAACCCTTGTGAGGTTCTCCTTAGATAAAGCTCTCTGCCAGGCTTGGTAGATCAGTGCCTTTCTAGAATCACCAGGCAGCACTTCTCTCCATCACAAAGGCTCACCAAGCCTGAAGCTGCTGTCATCAGGTCTTTCCACATCCATCCTCAGGTATCACCTCTACTGTCATCCATTGCTCCCCTTGCTCTCTGAGGGCAGACACTTCCCCCCCATATAACCTCAGTCTTTGTAACTTTGCCTTCCACACAGGTGTTTAATATGTGTATTATTAAAAATTGAATTGAGTTTATTGAAAAAAAAAGCAGAAGATTGTAAGTAGGGAGACCAATTAGGATGGTAGACCTTGTAGGCAGGAAATATGTATCTTATTGATTTTTTCTTATTCCCCACTGCAACTAGCTCAGTGTCTTGCATGTAACAGCAGCTCAATAAATGTTTGTTAAAATGAATGGCTTCTAAGGGTGGCCCTATGTGACTCAGCCATGTCTGTCACTTACTGTCTCTGTAATCAGTTTCCTTCTTCACCCAACTGAGATCAGGGAGAACAAACAACAGAAGAAGCAAAACCAGAGCAGGAAAAATATATGCAGAAGAGAAGCTAAGGAATTCTTTCCTGACTCAAGTTTTGCTTTACTGGCCAGGTGTGTTATCAGGTGAAAAAAATACTAAAGATAGATGTATTAACCTCTTCCAAAAATTTCTTTGTAAAAGAAAAATAACTGACTGATAGAAAGTTTATTCTGAACCAGGGAGTTAAAATGGTTTTATTTTGCTGTTTACTTACAAAATACATGTTTATTCTTCTGTCCCATCCCACAGCTATGATGTACCTAGAACGATAAAAAGTTCAGGAATCAGATAAATGAATTTGTCTATTACACTTATAAATTGTATTAATTAATCAAGGACCCATGATTCTATCACACTAACATGGGTTGCAATCCATCTGTAACTTAGTCAAGTTTTAGAGGGCTGAGTGTGTTGGATTAAATAACCTCTAAGTTCTAAATCTAGAATCCTATGAACTCTGACTCCAAAGCCACAAGCTAACAGACAACAACTCTTTTCACTTTGCAGGACTCAGGGAATTTGTCAGTCTTGAGTAGGATGTTGAGCTTAAGTTATCCTAGGCTGTTAGTCCTGGGTGGTAAGAAAAGCATTCAAAGGGGCATAACATCCCTTAATGGCTTATTCTTATGAAAGCAGGCAATGGTGTTGTTATTTACTTATATAGTATCTTATAAAATAGTTTATCTTATTTGATACTTATAAGTCAGATATTACATTATAAGTTAAGTATTAGCCCCATTTTATAAATGAAGAAATAGAGACTTAAAAAGGTTAAATAACTTTCCAAGGTCACAAGCCTAACAGGGAGGGTAGATTCAAATCTCGGTCTTCTGACTACAAGCTTCCACTATTCCATGATACAATTAGTTATTTAGTAGTATCCTGGAATTCCTGGGTTACAGAGGAGAAGACTGGAAGTAGAGAGATCAATTAGGATAGCAATACTCGAGGGCAAGTTCCTCATGGCAACCCTTGAAATATTGATGACTTTCATGTCCTGCCCCTCCCACCAAATTTTCTCTCCTCCAAGTTAACATTTCTGAAGAATAAGTCCCACTACTGTGGATATAACTTACTTATTCTGATATACTTCTACATAGGTACAGTCACAGACTTCATTGTGCTTTTCATCTGGAAAAATAATGCAGTTAATCAGCTTGCATTCTCAAAAACACTTTAAATCAATCAGTCATTCAACAAGCATTTATTAAGTGCTTACTATGTGCCAGGTAATGTATGAGACACTGGGTATATAAGCATAAAGAATGAAATGATTCCTATTCTTAAGGAGCTTTAATTTCCATTATAAACCCTTGAATTGTTTTATTTTGGGTCTGGTTCTACTTGTGAGTAGAGAAGAAATCACTCACTTTTTAAAAGTTAATGGCTACCTCCAGGTCACTATTCAGGAAAGCTTTGCTCATTTACCAAACTGGACCTTATAACCAGGAAGAGATTTTTTTGCCCTTCACAGTAGACAGAGTCCTGGGCCTGGAATCAGGAAGATCTGAATTCAAATTTGGCCTCAGATACTTATTGCAGTGGGATCTTAGGCAAGTCATTTAATCTCTGTTTGCCTCATTTTCTTCAACTATAAAGTGAGGATAGGATAATATAGCACCTACCTTCCAGGTTGTTGTAAGGATCACATGAGATCATTTTTGCATTGAGCTTAGTGCTTTGCACATAGTAGGTACTCAATAAATGTTTGTGTCTTTCCTTTCTTCCTTCCTCATGAGTAGCAATGGATCTATTATCTTTTGACAGCAAATGGGAAGAGCAGGAGTTATGGTTTCATGAGGTTTCACACACACACACACACACACATACACACACACACACACACCCACACACACACACCCTCCCCAACTATTTTACCAAAATTAATTGTAAGACTTTAAACAATCCTTTAACCTCTTCAGTAGCCATTCTTCTTCCTCACAATATTTCTATCAGTAGACATAGTGAAAACATGATTTTAGTAGATAAACATGACAATAATTATAATGATATTGTAAAGAACCCCATTTTACTTTATTAATTATCTTTAGATTTTTTGATATTTAGAATATTTAGTAGGGACTGGGTCCTTTAAGTTTAATGGCATCCATAATATTGATATAATTAATAAAAATCATATGATTATATCAATAGATGCTGAAAAGGTTGTTGACAAAATTCTACACCCATTCTTGTCAAGACTCTATAAAGCATAAGAATAAATGGATATTTTCTTCATACAATAAATAGAATTTATCTAAATCTAACAGCAAACATGATATGTAATAGAGGAAACCTAGAGACCTTCCAATAAGATCAGGGATAAAGCAAGGATGCTTATAATTGCTACTACTATTTAATAACATAGTGCTAAAAATGCTAGCTATAGAAATAAACAAGGCCAAAAAGAAGGAGGAGGAGGAGGAAGAGGAGGAGAAGAAGAAGAAGAAGAAGAGAAGTTGAAAGAATAAGCACAAAGAGAAAACAAAATTATTACTTTTTGTAATGATGTATATCTACCAAGATTCATCTAGGGATTATTTGACTGTAATTATGAAACATTCTTTGCGGATAAAAAAAAAAACAGACCTAAACAATTGTGAAAAACTAATTGCTTGTGGGTAGGGTGAGCCAATATAATAAAATGACAATGTTACCTAAATGAATTTATTTATTTAGTGCTGAATCAATTAAACTCCCAAAAGAATATTTCATAGAGAGAGAAAAACCAATAATGAAATTCATATGACGAACCAAAGATTAAGAATCTCAGGGGTAATAATGAAAAAAAAGTGAGAAGACAAGAAGTTTGTCAGAACTAGATCTCAAATCACAGTACAATGTAGTGATCATTAAAACAATTTTGATTTTGATTAAAAAAAAAGAAATAAAAAAGAGGTCTATCAGTAGAACAGATCAGGTATACAACATACAGAAACAAACAAATACAACAATATAGCATCTGATAAGCACAAAGAACTCATTTAATAACGGGAAAGGATTCATTACTGGGGAAAATACTAAGTACATTGGACAGCTATCTGGCATCAATTAGGTTTAACCCAACACCTCACACTGTACATGAAGATAAGCTACAAATGGATATATGACCTAGCAATTTGGAACTGTGCCCAGAAAGTCACCCTGTGCATAACCTTTGATTCACTTATGCTATTACCAAGTCTATATAGCCCAAAGAAAGTTTTAGAAAGAAGAAAAGGATCTACATGTACAAAACTATTTATAGTAGCTTTTGTGGTAACCAAAAATTGGAGATTAAGTGGATGTTCTATGGGGGAATGGCAAAACTAATTGTGTTTTATTAAGGCAATAGAATATTATTGTACCATAAGTAGACAATTTCAGAAGAAACTGTGAAGGTCATTATGAACTAATGCTGCAAAACTAGGAAAACAATTTAAACAATGATAATATTATAGAGAAAAACAATTTTGAAAAGCTTTAGAATTCTGATTAATGCATCAATAAATCATTAATACAAAAGAATGAAGATGAAACCTGCCACACCTCCTGACAGAGGGGATGAACTTAATGCAGAAAGAGACATATATTTTTAGATGTGACTAGTGTGGGAATTTGTTTAGCTAGACAATGCTTATATCTATTGTAGAATTTATTTTTCACTTTCAAAAAATTGCTTAGTGTGGAGGAGAGATGGATTAATTAAAAAGAAAAAAACTTGAAAAAAAAGAAACCTGGTGGTACAATGAAGAGAAGAGACATTTACTGGGGGTGAGGGAGTAGGGGAGGAGTGTGAGTGAATTAGAAATAGCTATCATATACATTTATTTTAAAGTAACCTGTCCTAAAAAAGGTTCAAACTCACCCAGAAAAGGAAAGGACATAGAGAAATTCTACAGAAATTATGCTCATGACCACTGTAAAAACCATCTGAGGAAGCTACATAAGAATTTAACATGGACTACAGTCGAAGATAAAGGAAAATTTCACCTTTAAATCAAATAGTAGATACTAGGGTGAGGTCATGATAGCTGAAGTAAAGGAATTTAAAAAGGCAGGCAATGTCTAAGAGCTTATTTGATTGGTTATAGCCCAGGTCTGAATTGAAAGAACTGAGGTAGCTCTGGGAGCTATGAACTAAAAGAGCTGATAAACTCTGATACAGTTCAGAGCCTATCACAGCTAAGGCCAGCACTGCCAGTAAATAACCTACCAAGAGCAGCCCCATCCACATCCACAGAGGACCAGCAGAGGAGAGTAGGGAGCAAAGAATAGCCTAAATGGATTGTCAGCAGTTCTGTGGCAGAGGTCCTTGGACATGCATCTTCCCTTCCACCTATGATATGGGGATCTGTGAGAGAGTCCATCCCTATCTATATGGGGAGATTTTTTTTTCATTATTTATTTTGCTGGGCTGTTTAGTTAAATGTCTTTTACTCTGGCTTGAGAATTTGGTTGGTCTGGCAAAAGAAATACTGGTGGGGGCTCAGAAGCTTTAGTTTGTTTTTCTGTGTGCTTTGAACCTGGGGGATCTTTCATCAGGTTCAGGGTTTTATTGTTGGGGCTCATTAAGGATTTCCATTGTAACCTTAACATTGCTGAGATCCATTCAAGATTTTTATATATATTTTTTCTAGTTGTGATTTTTTTACATATGATTTTTGCAGATGAGACCAGTGATTTTAAAAACTATCATCCTGCTCTTTGCAAGATGTCACTGATGTACTGTTTTTGCATTGTCTTGCAGCACCATGGTTAGTTAGAGATCTTGTACACGGCAATATACCTTGACTCTCATTAAGTACTGTTGATATGAGGGGTTAACAAATGACTGTGAGGCAGATTGTATTGTAAAGACTCTGTGTCATACTGTGGTCACTGTGGGGGTATTATAGGGCATGAACAAGGGATAGGGATACAAGGATGAAGAAGAAGAAGAAACAGTAGCTCTGTTTTGTAAACTGAGACAGTAGTACGTTTCAGCACCCTTAAAGTCATAATTGTTAGTGGAATTGTTTGCTAACTAGTAGCTTAATTCCCTACTAGGAGATGGTGAGAATGTTTAAAGACATCATAGTGAGAGAAGAATGGACTGTGGGTGATGTGAGAGACCTTCTAGTGGGCACAGCACCAACCCCAGCAATTAAGGATACAAGAGGAATAGTTATACCATCTATAAAAATCAATGACCAGGAATATACATCTTTCCTCCACAACCATTGATCTTGTGGCAGTTGTTACTCATGAGGGGAAGACTACCTACTTGTTAGCACTACTACACAGGTCTAAGATGAAAAGTAGCAATCCATCTTAGAGACACGTCCCTTTTCACCCATTGTGGAAAACCTTCAACCCCTTGCTAGAAACTTCCACACAGATGACATGAGTGACATGAGACTAATGCAGAGACACAGGGACAATTACTTGAGAACCTCAGACTACCTTTTTATATCATTTTATATGTACACTAAAGTCTTTTCACCCAGAGGTCATGGATTTTAAATGTCTGTGGATGCAGAGTAGCCAATTTGGCAGCATAAGAAGAAAACCTATGTGAAGTTCCTGGTGTATTTAACTATTCTTTTGGGGAATGTCTTGTCTGTATGCCATACCATCAAAAATGTTTTGAATTTAATGCTATAACACTCTAAATAAGTTGCATCAAGTCTTTTCCTGAAAACATTGGCCTATAGATAAGTTCAGTGAAGGAATAACACCTAGCCCATCCATAACACTTTCAATCCCATTTTGGCCCTACCAAGTGCACATACTCTTGTATTCTAAGGCCTGGAAAAATGGAAGTCACTTGCCTTGGGTCAGAGTTTTCAGACAATGCCCATTGTTGTAGTTCCAGATTCTTAAACATCCGTCTCTGCCACCAGTGACCAGCCTGAAGTGGAAGTAATGTTTACTCATTAAGATCCAAGACCAAGAGGTTCGATGACAATTCTGAGTTGAATAGACAATTGAGAATGAGTGTACCTTCTCCCACTGGAATCAAAAGTCAGGCAGGTGATGTCTTCATTGCCATGAGCTCCAATAAATTCAGACAACAACATTCCTGTTTCAAAATCCCACACTTTAATCACCTATGTAAGGGAAAAAGAAAGTCTAAGTAAAATATTTGAAATAGGGATTACAATGATTTTGGATCTAAAAGGAATTTCCATTTAAAGACAAGAATCATGGAGGTCAAAACCAAAAACAGATACCAACTTTGGCTATGGTTTCCCAGGAACAGGCTATATCAGTGAGAAGGTTGGAAGGTTTCAGTCTTTTTTTAAAGAAACCATAGAGTAAAAGGGATCCGACTTTCTCTGCTTAGTGGAGACAGCATCTGAATAGATTTGAATCAGTACAAATGGGTAAGCGTTTCCCTAATGAAGATGTAGAGGAATGGGAAAGCTTCCCACTTTTTAATTTTATTCTTTTCATTCGTATATTTTATTATTTTTATTTTCTGATATATTCCCCCTTTCCCCATTTCCCTAGTCAAAGGGCTATCACATATAACAAACTTTCTAAAGTCAGTTCAGCAAAACTGACCAATATATCAACCAAGTTAGACAGTGCATGTAGTGTTCCATACCCATAGTCCGCTAGCTCTATGAAGAAGGGCAGGAGATGCATTCTCATTTCTTCTTTAGTATCAAGCTTGGTCATTATATTTATATAATGCTCAGTTTCAATTTTTTGTTATTGTTCTTTCCATTTATTTTGTTATAATGGAAGATTCTACTTCTACTTTGAGTTAGTTCATACGATTATCATGATTTTCTGCACTCATCCCTTTTTACAGCACAGTAATATTCAATTACAATCATCTAAAATAATTTTTAGCCACTTCCCAATTGATGACATCTACCTTGTTTCTAGATTTTAGAACATTTCCCAGTTTTTGAGAGGTGATAGTGGTGGTTGTGGGGGCAGCGGTGGTAGTGGCATTTTCTCCCCCTATGACCCTTGACACCATTATACCATTTGGCCATATCCATTCCTGATCAGATGTCACTGTCTTTTTTCACTACTTGGCTATTTTTAGCATCCACTGCATCAGATTAGTGGGCCAAAATCAAGCAGGTTTAGGTAGGACCATTTCAAAAGGAGCTGGATGGCCACTTATCTTTAACTAGGAAAGGAACTAGCTACCCCCAAGACCACCTTCCCAAGGTAGCCAAAGTGACCAAAGCCCTCAAGGTGACAAATCTTTAAAAAAGTAATCCTTTGTCAGTTTACATATTTTCATAAATATTAATAGCACAATTCTCATCTGCCATTTTATAATGCAAGGATGGCCTCCAGTGGCATTCCAAATAAGAGTTGTACAAGTTATTCTCTTTCTCTGCATGCATTCCAAAATATTATAAATAGATCTTCAGTTGAGAAAGACCTTATTTCCTGGGTCACCCTAAAGCAGAGGCTGCCTTGGTACATTATAGGTAGTTATACCTATAATAAATTCCTTTCATTCTATTTACCCTGCTTTAGATGTTGCGAATTATATCATTAGCAAAATAATTTGAACAAGATGTTGCATTCCAAAAATCCTAGTATGGGTTGGTTTAGTGAAAAGAGCCCTGGGCTCAGAATCAGAACACTTGAATTTAAAATTTATTTCTGACACTTCCTAGCTATATAACTCTGGGCAAGTCATTTCAATTCTCTGAGCCTTGGTTTCCTTATCTACAAAAATAGGGATGACAACATAGTACTACATACATCACATACATCATGGAGTTATTGTGAAACAATTAAAGCACTATATGAAGGAGTTATTATAACATAAATCTGAGTTATTACAATCAGACAAATATTTATTGCATGCCTATTATGTGTCTGCCATTATACTAGGTATTGCTGGGGGAATATAAAAAAAATACATGGTCTCTGTCCTTTAAAAGCTTAGAATCTTAATAATACTACATTTATATAGTGCTTGAAGTTTAACAAAATGGTTTTCTCACAACAACCCTATGAGGTAGGTAATTCAAGTAATCCTAACCGGTTATCTTAACTTATTATTATTCCCCTTTACTATTGTACTACTGTACCTTCCAGACAGATTGAGCTTCTTACTGTTTCTCACACATAATGTTCTTCTCCTAGCTTTGTCAGTCTTTTCAAAGAACAAGTTTGTAGATTGATCATTTCTATATCATTTTATTTCAAATTTATCTATTTTTTTACCATTTTGTGCCCATTTTGGGTTTCCTTTTTGTTAGCTTTCCAATTTTTTTGAAATGAATATTCAGTTCATTAATTCTTTCTCCTTCTATTTTGTAAATGTATGTTTTTAGTGATATCCTTTTCTAAGGACTGCTTTAGCTACTTTCTAGAAATTTGGTGTGTTTTATTTTATCATTACCATTTTCTTTCAGTCAATAGGCAGTAGTGAAACAACACTTATCAACCTACTCTGCAACTGTGCTAAGCACTGGGGATACAAATACAAAAAAGGAAGGCAGTCCCTGCCCTCAAATAGTTTAAAATATAATGGGAGAAGATGACACACAAGAGCTAGAAGGAAAAGGACTCCATGGAAGAGCATGGAAGAGAAGTCACAGAAGTCCTAAAGTAGGGCAGTCAGCTGCAAAATGAAATGTCTGTCCTGAGTTTCCTCCTTAAATGGGTGTTTTGAAATTTGTTATTCTGCCTTTGAAGCAGAGAGGCAGAGGATAGTGATGAGATGCGAGTACTAAGGGTGATTCAGTCTTGCAAGATAGCAGGTTTCCCAGTGATGGGGTTCCTGGAGCATGGTGGAGAAGTCAGGGAAGGGAAAAGGAATGAGAATAAACATTTATATAGCACTTACTATGTGCTAGGCACTGTCTACAAAGCATGTGTTTACTCTTTCTGCTTATTTTATATTTATTTGAAATATGTTTTTGCCCCAATATATGGTCAATTTTTGTAAAAGTTCCATATTCTACATGAAATATGTACATTCTTTAGCATCTCCATTTAGAAGATGCCATAAGTCTTTTTACTGTAATTTCTCCAGCAATTTGTTCGATTCTCCCTTTTGTTTATCTTTCTGTCAAATTTATCCAAAAGAGAGAGAAGGGACCTTAAAGTCTCCAGCTATTATTGTATTGTTTATGTCTTTTCATAATTCCATTAATGTTCCCTTTACGAATTTAGATGATAAAGCATTTGAAGGAATATTGATATTGATTGGTTGTCTATGGTTCCTTTCAGCAATATGTAGTTTCCTTGTTTAACTCTTTTATGTTTTGAAGTTTTGTTTTTGCTTTGTCTGATACAGTGATTACAACTCTTGCTTTTTTTGCATTCATTTAATGGATAGTCAATAGTGTTTCAGCACCTCATCTTCATTCCAAGTATATCTTTTTAGTTGCAATTCTTGTCAAAAACAGATTGTGGCATTTTGTTCTTATACAATTTGTCACTTTCATTTTATCAAATTGTTTAAATACATTTACATTCAAAGTTATGGGAGTTAGGTCTATATTTTCCTTTATTTGTCTCTAATATTGGTTTTTTTAAATTAGGGTTTTGTTGTTGTTCCTCTTCCTCTGTAAAGACAGTTCTTTATATCTTCAGTTATTTTTTCTTAATCTTCTTCAAAGCAACCCTATTTCCATGGGCTTGCTTCCTTTTACTCTCAATCCCCTCCCCAGATGATCCCACTTTGTTTGCTCACCTTTCCCTAGTTTTGAAGTTTTATTTAATTTATTCCTTCTTCTTTCTTCTTTTTGCCTAGTTATCTAATTCTTCTCTTCCCCCTCTTTTTTCCTCCCATTTAAGTAGTAAAGTCTATCTTCCTTTCCTCATTTTCAACTTCCTTTGTTAGTTTTTTAATTTTTCTATGTCTTTTTATAAAAAGGATTTCCTTTCCTCATTTTTCTACCTTTCTCTCTGTTTTAGACTTTTATTATGTGATTCATAGTCCTTATGAAGAGGTCTAGGAATTTGGGGTGCTGCTGGAACCCCAAGATCACAGTACTGGGCCCTGACTGAAAGAATTAAATGCAAATCTTCCAGCCAGAGAAAAAGTTTATTAGTGATAAAACACATAGGCTAGGTGACACCTGTAAGGAAAAGTGGCGTGAGAAAGTCTCAGCCTTTTGGGCATGAGATTCTCAGCCCCAAATGGGGGCCAGGGAAGATCTCATATACTTTGGGTGACCAGGGAAAGGTCTGGGAAAAGCGTCTGGGAAAATGGTCTGGGTGAGAATTCTGATTGGAATGTCTAACAGATTGAATAGATAATGAAGGAACTGGGAGGCATCTGAATGAGATCAAACAGGTGGAGCTAGGGCTTTCAAAGGGAAATAAGGGGCTGGGGCCTGTAGACAAATGGGAGCCAGATTCCCTTTGGTTTAAGGGGCAAAGACCTCGTCTTTGGCCACACCCCATCACTTATACCTATTTATTCCTTCTTTAGTCTCTTAATAATGCCTGCCTGGTAATAAGCACTTTATAAATTCTTTTTGGCTAACTGACTGTATTCTCCTTCATAGAATTAAAGCTTCCAAGGCACATATTTTGAATTACCTATTCTAAAAAATTTCCAAGTTATTTTTTTGTAGATCTTACCTCCTTGTCTTTTTTTCTCTTATGTTTCACTTAGCAATATGAGTTTCTACAGGAGATAAAGAGGATAGAAGCATTGCCCCATGGTAGAAATTTTTCTATGTCCCTGATTGTATAGTTAATTGCTACCCCTTATCCTCATGATCATTTTTTCCCCATTTGCCTCTCTACATTCATGCCATCTGACCCTTCTGGATGTCAGGAGCTCTGTTTCCCTTTTTGCTGTCACAGAATGCTGTCAGTGGAGGCACCACACTTAATAACAATAAAAATATTAGTTAGTATTTATATAGTCCTTACAATCTCACTTGAGCTCCACACAACCCTGTGAGGTAGGAGCTATTATGATCACCATTTTGCAGTTGAGAAAACTGAGACAGAGGTTTATATCATTTGCCCAAGGTCATACACCTAGTAAGTGTCTGAGGCTGGATTTTAACTCAGACTCGAGATTCAGTATTTTATCCACTGAATTTCTTCTTTCAGAGGTAATGGTCTCTTTTAATAACCAAATCTCTCCAGACTATAGCCA